GGACTACATAATGAGACCCTGTCTTAAAAAAAAACAAAACAAAATGAGAAAGAAAACGAAGGAAAGAAAGGAAAAGAAGGTAAAAAGAAAAAAAAAAAGCAAGCTGAGCAGGAAGCTAGGACCCAGGAAATCCAGAAGGGGACATTCCTCCGTCCAGCGTCGAGCCGGGAGAGGAGCTTGAGGGAAGAGGCCATGCGTCCCCCTCCGGCCCTCACTGCTGGGGCCTCCCTCCCCCCTCTCTGCGGTGACCCCAGGCCGCAGAGCGCAGCTGTCCCACGTTGCTGGCCTCCCTCGGCCCTGCCTGCTGGGGACTCCGGAGGCCAAATTGAAGCCGCGGCCAGCGTCCCTTTGTCCGGGGCCTACTCTCCTCTCCTCTCCAGCCCCTCTGAATCCCAGGGCCCGGCTGTTCCCAGGGGCCACCTGCTGTACATTAGCCGTGGAGAGGCGCCTGGGAGGTCGGCCCTTCCTCCGCCTGGGGCTCCGCCGGCACAGGCCCCGGAGCTGCGGGCGGGAGGCCAGGGACAGTTACCAGCTGTGACAGCTGAGCCCAGGTCCCAGGCACCGTGGCCGGCACTGTGGAGGGGACTCTGCAAACCCGCTCTGCCAGCCTGCCACCACGCAACCCCGGTCAACTGCTGACTGTCTCGGTTTCCCCTCTGTGTTTGTAAGTGTGTGGTCTGTCTGGGGCTCACACGACCCTAGTAACAGCAGATGTCCCCCCCAGCGATGCAGGGACCAGAAGAGAGAGGTCACTGCTCCACATCTGTCCTTCCACATCTTTCCTATCTGGCACCTGGGACAACACTGGTAAAATGCAGTTTTTTAAAAAGAAAAAATACAGAGCGAGCCAGGCATGGTGGCGCACACCTGTCACTGCAGCAGTCGGGAGGATCGCTGTGAGTTCGAGACCAGCCTGGGCTACAAAGTGAGCTCAAGGCCAGCCTGAACTGCACAGCAAGACCCTGTCTCAAAAGAAAGAAAGGAAAAGAAAAGGTAGAGAAAGGGCGTTTTTTGTGCGCCCTGCGCCTGGAGGCACAAGGTGTTCACTCATAAAAGTGCCTTTCTTTCCCGCTCCACCCACGTGCTGGGCAGGAGGGTACCTGGGCTGTGCAGGTCCCTGCAGGACCCGACACCCACTGGAACTCCGGGGGCCTCACCTGTCCGGGCTCCCTTCCAGCCAGAGCCAGGGGGTAGCCTCGCCTTGCTTGAGGGCCGGGGTCACCGCACCTGCTCCACCCAGAGTCCTGGGCCTCGCCGTGCTGTCCAGCAGGACGGGGCTGGCTCGGCCCAGAGGCAGCGTGCAGGGCAGGGCAAGAACTCAGCGCAGGGTTGGGTGGGCGTGGACGGCCGCCGTGCCTGCACCTGGGAAGCCCTGCGACGTGCCCCTGTGCGTTGGCTCCTGGGCAGCTGCTACGGCGTCTCAGGGACTGAAATACAGAGGAGGCCCAGGGGCCGAGTGCGACGCTCAAGCGCTACCCCGACCACTCTGTGCTGGGCCCTGTGACTGAGTCTTTTTTTTTTTCCCCCTCCAGTACCAGGAATCAAGCTCATGACCTTGCGCTTGCCAGTCAGGTGCTGTGCTGCTGAGCTGTATCCCCAGCTTCCTGGGTCTCTTATTTTTTACCTGAGACAAGGCTCTGCCGCCCAGGCTGCTCTGGAATGCTTGATCCTCCTGCCTCAGCCTCACAAGTGCTGGGTCACAGCCGTCTCCCTGAGGCCACACGGACTGGGCCTATGAGGAAGTTGTCCCGACTTCATGTCCCTCTGTGCCGTGTGAGGGGCATGGAGGCCCCCGCCGCGTCTGGAAGGGCGAACTGGAGCCCCTGCAGGAGAGCGGATGCACTGTGAGGCCGCAGTGCTAAACGACACAAACCGCACAGGCTTTGGTGTGGCGGGGTTTCTCTTATAATGAGGACCCCAAAGTCCAACTTAGAACAAATGGAAGATGATAGGAAAGCTGGGGTTATAGCTCAGTGGTGCTGCCTGGCAAGCACAAGGTCCTGAGTTCAAGTTCGGTTACTAAAAAAAAAAAAAAAGATCGGGAACGGGGAGAGATTTGCAGAGCTAAAGGTACCAGAAGACACAAAACGGGCGAGGTGTCACATCTGTGTCCCAATTGGCCTATGCCCTGCCAACACAGACTAATAAAAAGCCCCAAAATTGAATATACTAAGGATTAAAGAGGCCTGGGGACAGTGGGGCAGAGAAGGCAGGAGGAAGACCCGGGGGGGGGGGGGAGTAGCAGCCAGATCCACAAGGCCCCGAGGGGGTGAGGCCGGCAGGGCCAGGCACACAAAGGCTCTTGTTGGGCCAGAGGAGGAACTCGCCTGCGGGAAGAGGGGCGAAGTCCAGCGGCCTCAGGCTCCAGCCGGCAGCCAGGCCCAGTGTCCTCTCCTCTCCCCAGGAGCGACGGGACTCGGGGGACCAAGTTGTCACCTCCCTCTGTGGGCAGAGAGAAGGCCCTGCCGGCCTCGCCCCTGTGGGCAGGTGGGCACGGAACGGGCACAGGAGGCAGGACCCCCCCCGCCCGGCCCCCACCCCTCCTCCCGTCCCAGGGTTCCCAGAACCAGGACAGCCACTGTGCCGCCTCAGGCGGTGGCCTTGTGTTCTCCGTGGCTTCCCTGTAAACGGACTTCCGGGAAGAGTGGAGGGGCGAGGGGGGTTGAGGCAGCAGGGCTTCACCCCCTCAGCAATCACACGGAGCTCCTGGCGCCCCCAGACCCCTCTGTCCTCTGGACAAGAACGGCTGGTCCTGGGGTGTGAGGCTGGCCCGGCAGGGGACCCTTGGGAGCTTGGGCGGGGGCTGGGATAGAAGTCCCAGAAGGGCAGGGTGTTCAGCGCCCCAGGGTGTCCCCTGCCCTGTCTGCCTGGCCACAGGGAACTTCCAAAGACACCGCACCCTGCCACACCGCCACACCGCGCCCGGGCAGCTGGAGCTCGCCTTGAAGGGGGCCCTCGGGGCCAGCCCTCCCCTGCAGGGACAGGCAGGCCGAGGTGACCCTTTCTGTCCCCCGGGAGGGGCTCTGGCAGCTCCCCCAGTCCCGGGGGCAGGCGATGTCCACTCTCAGCAGTGTGCAGGGGTGCTGGTCCTGGAGACACCGGGCTGGGGGCCCAGGCTGGGCATTCCGGAGCCGGCCTGGGCCGGGCCTCTTTCTGGACAGCGGAGGGCAGGTGCGGCCCGGCCTGCTGGAGACCCGGGTTCCCACCGGCCGTGCTAGCTGGGCAGCATGCTGGGGCGTTAGCGTGTCGGGAGGGACACACTCGGCCTTTGGGGGACCGTGTCTCTGTAGGGCTCCTGAAGCCCTCCTCACTCCACACCGAGCACTGCAACCTGGAGCTGCGGGTGCGGGGCAGGGGGGGGGGACAGGGCGCCCACATGCTTGGGTCTTCCTGAACCCTATCTTCTCCTCTCTAACCTGGTCCCCTAAACCACCAGGGTACTTTGTGGTGAGAGAGAGCAGAGAGCAAGCCAGGGGCTGGGTGCACAGAAACCCCCGACCCGGCACTGCTGGTGGCTGCGTCTCCCTCCTGGGAACGTGTCCGAGGGTCCCCGACGCCCGCATCTCGGGAGAGAAGAGAGACGGGGGACCCGGGGACAGCCGGGGCGGGGAGGGAGAGAATTAGGCAAGAGGGCGCTGAGGCCGGGGGCTCTTCTGTCCTGGCCCACAGCCTGAGGTGCCCCGGGCAGCCGTGGGGACAGCGCTGGACACAGGCGGGCGTGGGTGTCCCTGGAGACCCGAGCACCCTCTCAGGCTGGCATCTGCGGTTCTGCTCCCTGGCACCCAGCGAGGGCTCCTTAAGGCCCGGCCAGCTGGGGGGCGTGGGACCCATTAGATCCGGCAGGACCCCACGCGGTGACACCGGCCGGGCCACCTCCCCTCCAACCTTTCCTCCAGCGCTGATGCTTGACTCGCATGCGAGGGGGCCCCAGCCTGGGCCGACACCCCACAGACAGAGCCGGGGAGAAGGGAAAGCAGGCAGGGTTCCTCTTCCCAGGCGCCCCCGCCCCACCGCACATCTGGAGAGCCAGGTTTCCCCAGCCCTCCGCGCCCCTGGGCGTTTCGATTCCTTCCCCGTGGCCCTGCCACGGCATCACCGTGGCCCCGAGCGGGGCGGGGGAGCCCAGACATTTCGACTTCTACAGAAAAGCTGCGTGTTTCCCCCAAGTCAGAAGAACGAAACCGGGGAAGAGGAGGAGGCGGCGGGGAGGGGCCGCGGGCAAGGCATGGGGAGGAAAGGGCGCGGAGACCCCGGCCGAGCCAGCGCCCGGAGGGGCCCCGGGGAGCCAAGCTGGGCAAAGGGGACAGGAGGCGCCAGGGCCTGGCTGGCGCTCGCGGGGACGGCAGGCTCGAGGGCGGCCCGCCCAGGCTGCGCGCCGCGGCGGGGGCTGAGGACCTCCCGCTGACTCCGTGTGCGGCGGGCCGGCCGTCCCCCGCCTGGCCGCGGCGACCTGCTCTCCCTGGAGCTCCCGGGTGGGGCTCCGGACAGCCACACACAGGCGCACGCGGGCGGGCGCACACGCACGTTGTTGTTGTTTTGCTGCTGTGGATCAAACAGACCCCAGGGGTGCGGCCACTGAGCCGGCCCGCCGCACCCCGCCCCCGCCCCGCCTTTCCCTTGGAACAGAGTCGTGCCGAGTCTCCCCGGCAGGACTTGACTCTTCGAGCCTCCTGCCTCAGCCTCTCCTCATGCTGGGGCTCGAGGCGTGCAGCTCTGCGCCCCGGTCTCACGCTCGCTGCTTGAGCTACACGGGCAGAGCTGGGCAGCATGTGGCGCTGTCCCCCTCCCCTG